TCTCCCAGCCTGTCTCGCTGTGGGGACAGGGTGGTTCTGGTATCTCAAGAAGAAACTGGCACTTAGCTAGCAAAGTACTGGTGACTTCAGTGGAAAGGGCCTCTGACAGCTGAGGAAGCAACCTCCTGACTGCTTGGAGGTGGGTTTCCCTGCCTCTGAGCGAAGAGTCCTGTGCTCTCGCTGCTCACAGAGTATGGCCTGACCTTGTTGCAGAAAACATGGTCAAGGCCTGACCATGATGCCAAAGAGCACTTGCAGTGGTGCAGTCTGGGAAAAGCCTGGCAGCTACCCCATAGTGCTTCAGTGCAGGGAGAGAGCACGGGAGGCCCCGCGCACAGAGCAACGCCGCAGAAGGACAGGCAGGGCAGCCTGGGCCATCTCCATTCCCAGAGAGGGCTTGGGGAGAAGAACCGCCGTCTGTGAACCCAGGCCCAAGCAGGGAGGTGTTGGCATTGTTGCTGGTTCCACTGCTGTGCCTTGCCAGCCTGTCCCCAACACACTGGTCCTGCCTCCCTCCTTTCTGGGGGGTGGGGGGGCACAGGATAACAGCACTGAGGTCAGCCTTCCAGGTCAGTCTGTCGCTTCCTGTGCCTACAGCCACCTGCCCTTGGGTGGGCAAGGGCAAGAGGCCAGGAAGATTCTTGTCCACCCCACAGAGAAGCTGCAGGAAAAAGTGGAAGACTTCACACAGTTACCCCAAAAGAGTGAGGAAGTGGGAAGAAGATGAAAGGGAACACATCATAGGCTCATTGCACTAGCACAGTTTCCACTGTTGTGTCATCATCTTTGGAGACGCAGGACATGCTTAATGGCACTGTCCCAAGGCTGTGTCCATCCCTGCTCACATGATGGGCACTGGCAGTTTACCCATTCTGAACACCACGTTTCCTTCCCCTAACATAGCTCTTGGAGCCCTCTTGTCAGCTCAGATCAAGCGTAGTGTCTATGCTTGCCTGGCAAGGGAAACACCGTGACCGCTGAGGTGGTCTTCCTAGTCGCACCCGGGGAAGACCGCTCTGCTAGCACGGGGATAGTACCTGCCAAGCTAATGTATAATAAACCTCCCATTTAGCTGCTGGAGTGGGAAGGTCTTGGCTTTATGCCCACTTTATGGAAATGGGAGAGTCTTCCGTAGCTTGCTCCTGCAGCCGTATGGCTGAGGGCAAACAAAACGCAGGGGCATCTGAACCCCAAGTCTCCGGGCTTGGGCCTGCAAGTAGGATGCCTGCCAAAGGATTTGGAAACATCTGAAGCCCCAGGTGTTTGCCGGTAGTATGGCCATTTATGGTTCTGGACTGACTCAAGGATTTGGAATTTGATTTGGCAAATTTGGATTGAAATATGGGGGGAAAAAAATTTTTTTTTTAAAGCTCTTGGAGCCCTCACAAGAGAGAGGGAAGGAGCAAAGCATCTTGGGAACAGCCATGCAAATTAAAAAGCAAGAAGCAGAAAATCATGCCCTCAGAGTCCTTCTCTTTTGGTCCTAGCAGGTTCAACACAATGGCATACATTGCTGAGGGCAAAGGAATAGCATGCTCCCAGTAGCCAGCCAGTAGGACAGCTCTTCCTTCCCAATTCAAACCAGCAAAACTCAAATTGTGTCCTGTGGTTCCCTCTGCTGCTAAGGCCTCTTAACCCCTTCCAGACAGACTGAGCCTTCAGGATCCAGTGGGCCTTCCCTTGGACTGAACTACATGTAGTTCATATTGTGGGTTTGGACTATGAGGTTCCCAGGTCCAGCTTGTCTTTCCTCGCTCTCGTCCAGGCTGGCTGTATGTGCCGGCTTGACCCAAGCGCCTGTGCTCTCTGGTGTAAATAGTTGTAAATGGAGAATGTAACAGAAGCCGAAAAACGAAGCAGTCAATGAACCTGCTCCTGGTGGAGAAGTGGAGCTCAAAGGCACATCATGCCTGTAATGTGAACTTCCTGTGGATGGGAACGAGCTAATAAACACTGGCTTTGTTTATGGAGACTCTGCCTCTGCCTTTTTCTTGCCTTTTTCTTGCTTGCTGCTCCTCTCCCTCCAACAGGGTCTTTTCTGCCCCAACAACACTGGAGGTATAGGACCAAAGCAATCCACAGGGCAACTGTGATGCTCCCCCTTCCACTGTGTGGTTTGTGCCCTGCCCTAGTGCCTGGCCCAGAGAAGAGGGTAAAAGCCTGTATGTCACTAACAGAGCTGTTCCTTCACCTTAGGTAGGAATGGCCCATATTTTTACTACTGATGGTCCAACCTTGGTTCCCCAGCAATAACTCTTGGGATAGGAGGGGTGCTTACACATGTCCACATGGTATGCATAGCTGAATAGTATGTGGCTATGCACATACCATGTCTGGTATGTGCATAGCCACATACCAGGCATGGACACAGACAGCATGAAAGGCAGTTTTGGAAGCTCAGGACTCAGCTTTGGTGAAAAATGTCATCCACTCTTGCAGCCAGTGGAAGGCAAGTCCTGGAGGGCAGGGCTGATTCCAGCCAGCACAGGGCAGTGTGGACTTGAACACACCCTCCTTTGGGGCTGGACTCCATGATCTTCCGACATCGCTTCCAGCCCTACTGTCTATGAAATCTATGAAATCCTAGTAGTTCAGCAGCGGAAGTCACTCCTGGTGGGACAAATGCAGCTGCTACTAGCCGCTGGCTCCTACAAATCCATGGTCCTTAGCACACGTTCCACAGGGAGATGGTCTGGTTGGGATACTCATTGTCTACCTGGAGGGTAAGGGACCCCAACTGAGTCTCCTCAAAAGGCAATATCCCAACACAGCATTGCTTGCCTGCAGTGTCCATGTTGGGGAAGGCTGTGTTGGGGTCTGAAACCATGAACAAAGACAACAGGGATGAATCAGCCCCACTAGGGCTGACAGGAGGGGCCTGAAACAAAAGGCCATTAGAAAATGCTGCTTTGAAACAAAGGGTTTGGCAAAGGCACATCCATTTCCTTGAAAAGTCTCAGTTGTTGAGGAACAAATTAAAAGAACAATGGTTGACATTCAGGGAAGTTTTCACTGCATGCCACAACAAGATCAGGCTTGTTGCATATCAAGTTTTTGTGAAACTGGGTATGAAACATTTTAAAACTGTGAGTTCCTTTGGGTGGGGAAGACCCTGTTCCTTGACCTGCCCCCTTTCCCTGCCCCCTCCTCCCCACCCCAATTGCTCCCAGCAAGAGTCCCATTCAAGGCTCGGGCCCTCCGCAGTAGATAAGGTGGCCACAAAGAAGGATAATGCATACTATCCATCCCCTCCAGGCATAGGCAACTGGTAGCAGGGGCATGGAGGGGCATGTGCCCCCCCCCCAAGATTGGCCCCCACCGCCACTTTACGCTCCACCCCCCCCTGGCTTTTGCGGCTGGTCACCGCTCACCACACACACACACACACACACACACCCCCCGCCGCTCACGCCGCTGCCAACTTCTGCAGGCGCTCACCACCCCGCCGCCGACACTGCTAACACTGCTGCCCACAAACTGTGCTCCCCCAGTCTCAAGAGGCACCAGTCACCCATTCCTCCAAGAGAAGCCAAGATCGTCGCCAGAGAGCACCAACCTGCTGCAGGCCAGTACCTCCTACCTACTGCCATGAACTCACCCAGCCCCCATACAGAGCTGGGTCAAGAGCAAGACCTGACACAGAAAGAGCCAGCTCCCCCAGGCCAAGCTCTGGTCCCAGGAGAGGGGAGAGAGGTGTGGCAGGATCCAGACACAGTTGCTGCAGCTGCACCAAGAAAGTCTAGGTGCATAGGATTCCTCAACTTGCTGGAGCTCCTTGCCTCAGCAGGGAAGGGGGATCTCTGAGGCTGTTCCCCAGTCCCTCTTGCCAGCCCTGGCCACATTGACCCTGGCACTCTACAGTTTAGGCTTGCTGAGCGCAGGCCTGCTGAAAGTCTAACCCAGGGGAGCACTGGGCCAACACGGAGGCCCCTACAGGCAGATCTCCATGGGGACAGCTGGATCCAGAACACACACATTGCACTGACCTAATGCACCCTGCTGCCTTGAATTGTCCAGCACATTCCTGCCTTTTAGAGCTGTGTCTACACAGTCCCATAGAGCCTTTCAAATGCAATTTTCATCCTAAATTTAGCAAATGGCCCTGCATCGGCCAAGGAATGTTCCTGAGGTGGCAGCAATGTCCTGCTGCAGCTGCTGAGAGCAATGCTGTTAGCCCAGTCTTCACCACCACTCTGGCAGGAGCACAGGCAACAGCCATTTCCAGTGGGCCTCAGACCCATGCCACATCCAGGTCTACATACTGATTTCAGTACCTTTGGGTAATCTTTTCACTGATTGGAGATGCAGTCAGGTCTGTCTAGGCACTGACTCAGGCATGAACCAGAGGTATAAATCCCCTGGCCCACAGCACCTGTATGGAAGAGAATGGGAGCTTGGCTCTGTGGCCCCCAACCCAAATGCTTCTTGCATGATCCTTTCCCTGAGTGCTGGACATATACCACAAGTGACAACCCCATCAAGCCTCAGAGTCAAAGGCCCAGGGGACAAACCCAGACTCTCCTGAAAGGACCTGAAAGCTTTATTCTATCAACCCCAGCAGGGAGCTCTATGAGGAATACAGCAGAGGGGAAACCATAGAAATCATAGAAAATTAGGGTTGGAAGGGACCTCAGGAGGTCATCATTGCTCAAAACAGGACCATCTCCAACTAGATCAGGGGCGGGCAATTATTTTGGGCGGAGGGCCACTTACTGAGTTTTGACACGCTATGGAGGGCCACATGATAGGCAGCCAGGGGCAGATAAATATTAATTTTCTAAATTTTTTAGGAGTCCCGCGGGCCAGATAGAATGGCCTGGAGGGCTGCATCCAGCCCCCATAGAGTGCCGGGGGGGCCGCCTCCCACCCCCGGAGCCGCATTTTGCCCACCCCTGAACTAGATCATTCCAGCCAGGGCTTTGACAGCCTGGGCCTTAAAAACCTCTAAGGATGATCAGGATAA